GATATATCAAACACGAAAGAACGTGCTTGACCACATTTCCAATCACCGAGAAGAGAGTTGAAGATACGACACGTAGGGGTGTATTTTTGACGAACTTCGAGGTGTTTGAAAATGAGGTCAAACTCTGTCTCCTCATTCCAAACTAAAACTAAGAAGAAAGTCGAGAAATAGAACCTTTTCATAAATGGCTGCCAATTTAAAATTCTTTTGTATACATTTAAATTAGCCTCACTAAACTCGTTTGGGAGTAAAAATTCTTTTGAATCATCAACTCAAAAACGAGGTTAGTCAGGCTAATTTTAATACTTACAAAAGAATTTATAATTGGCAGCCATTTATGAAAAGGGTCTATGAAATCGTAAAAAAGCTATGTTAATAAAGATCAGATATCTAAACAACGCCACAGTCCTGATTTCCTTTGTTGAAACTTGATGAATTATTAATAAGTTTGAGGCGTCCATGGTTAGTTTTCCAAAATCGAATAAGACTTTTTTGCTTTATAACAAGAAGTCAAATAGAAATAAAAGCTACCTCTTTATATCGTAAAATTCTTGAAGTCTAATAACTTAAGAAAGGAGCTGTTATAAATTGCATGTTTGGACAAAAATGTCTCCTGAACAGTCACAAGTGTTTCAGCATTGATTACAGAATAGGGAGTGAGTACGCGATTGTAGGCCTTCTTTTGCAATGAATGGAACTTTTTTTTCGTCCAGTTATTCCCAATTGGATGAAAATTCTCGACACGTTTTGCAAAGCCCAACTCGCACTCAGTCCCATCTTTCTTTCTCTTTCTTTCTTTTTCAGCTCCAAGTCGCCCACCCTCAAATTTCACAGGCCAAGCTCCAAGTTCAACAAAACTAACATTGGAATGGAAACCAGTCGACGAGCTGCACATAAATGGCGTACTACGCGCTTACGTCATTGTCTACTTCATCACGCATTCGTCACATGTCACGCGTCACAACATCACGATACCTGTAACGACTGCTCGAAAACGGCGTGCTATAACCGATCCTTCTTCACCGAGTTATGAGTTGAGAGGATTAAGAAAGTACACCACTTACACTGTTCAGGTGATGGCTTACACTGTTGACTATGGAGTGCCAAGCCTTGAAATCAACATCACCACAGCACAAGATGGTAATCTCTTAAACAAATACTAGTACTTGTCCTTATTAGCTTTTGTTTTCGTTGCATCATGATTTCAACACCATTTCCC